CCTGCTTGTGCATTTGTTGGTACAGTGGTTCCATGTCGCCAGCCCATCCGGATCCGAATCCGGCTTCCTCTGAACCTGAGTCTGCTTCTTGAGTGTGTTCCTTATGGGTGCGAAGAGTTGAAATCTGCAGTTTGTTGGGTTAAGCTGCAAAAGCGCAGGTGATTCCTTTTGTGCCACTGGCACAGCTTGGGCGGGGATATAAATTGATTAAGGTGAGGTCTCAGGGAATCACTAGGGCGGAGCAAGCAGCAATGGCGTCTCCGCCGACTCCTCGCCTCTCCACGACTTCACGTCCCCAAGTGCCGGCGAGCAACTCCGCATGAGAGCCACCCCGGCTTTCCGACCCGCTGCAAGGCTGTCCCACCTCTCCCCATAGGGGTCTGGGACCTCAGAATCCCACCCCAAACAAGCTCAGTGGATTCGAGAGTTTGTAACCCCTTCCGATTGAATAAAACCGCGCATCCAGTTGCAGCCCGCCTGGCACACAACTCCGTACCTCTGTTCTTGGCGCCTCTGCATATCCTACTCAGTCTCAATGTGCTTCTTCCTTTCCTTCCAGTTGTAGAACTTCCACTGGGCCAGCTTTCCCATGGTTCTGAATGGTAGCTGTTTGTCTTATAGTTGGTAGTCTCAATGTTGTTGTGAGAGGCAGCACCCACAGGTCTATACCTTACGTCGCCATCTTGGTTCTGAACCTATGCAGTTTAAAACTGTTGTTCATGGGCCAACTGTATTTAAATTTCAGTTCTGATTATAAATAACGTATATAGAGTTGTGTTAACTTTATACATTGTAAAAATACATAACAAAAATTTCCAAAATTTCCATTTTTTTATATCATTGTCCGTTTATTAGATATTTCAACTTTGCTATGGGTGAACTAATAAGTATCATTTAGTAATATATCTTAAGGTTTTGTGTGTGTTTTGTGTTTTGTTTTGTTGTTTTTTTTTAAATATATTTTATTGATTTTCCACAGAGAGGAAGGGAGAGAGACAGAGAGTTAGAAACATCGATGAGAGAGAAACATCGACCAGCCGCCTCCTGCACATCCCCTACTGGGGACATGCCCGCAGCCCAGGTACATGCCCCTGACCAGAATCGAACCCGGGACCTTTCAGTCCGCAGGCCAATGCTCTATCCATCGAGCCAAACCGGTCTCGGCTGTGTTTTGTGTTTTTTTGTTTTCATTTAATCAATTACAGTGCATGTCTTTCTGTCCATATATAACCTTTTCTCATTCTTTTTAACAGATGCATAATACATTATGGTCAGGGGAAAAAGCCCTCCTTAGTAGGGCATGTCTCTAAAAAGCTAGTTGTTCTACACACAGTTTGTAAGTGGAAGAGAAATGATAACAGAGACAGAATTTTAAAAATAGAGGTAGGACAGTGGCTCAGTGGTTGAACGTTGACTATGAACCAGGAGATCATGGTTCGATTTCCGGTCAGGGCACATTCCCCAGTTGTAGACTCGATCGCCAGTGTGTGGGGAGGCAGCCAATCAATGCTTCTCTCTCTTCATTGATGTTTCTATATCTCCCTCTCCCTTCCTCTCTGAAATTAATAAAAATATATTTTTAAAAATAGGGGTAGGACAAACAAAAAAAGGTGTTAACCATAGAAGTAGGAGTTGTGGTTGAAACTGAGTGATACTTGGAAAAATCAGACCCTGTGCCACACAGAAGGCCAATACTGATAATTCAGAAAACAAGATTGTTTTAGATGGAGGTAGGCCTAGAGCCAGTTATGTGTACCAGTGGCCCCTAGGGATCAGTATGTATATCTGAAGTGAAAGCAGTATTGAAGTTGTAGTTCTAGCACTGCCCTAGACTGATGGAGCCTTGGTTAGATCATGTGGACTTGAACATATGAGAGAGATAGTGTGCATCAAAGCACTTGGAATACTGCAAAACATTACACAGGTACGGATGTTGTGAATTTAGTAAAAATACATTAGACCTAGAATAGCTATTCTGTCATATAATTTCAGATTTCATCTTGAGAAAACAAAATTATGCATCTTATCCTTTTCACTTCATTGAGTCAACCTCAGGACAAGAAATTTTTCAAGATATGAATTATTACTGTTAAAGAGATTTCAGTAAAAAAGTTATTACCATATAGAACATAACTATATAGAACATTCAAAATAGTTTTAATACTCTTTTTTACCTGGAATGTTATTGAAAGAAACATTGAGGGGGCGGTTTAGCAAAACTTGAGGGCTTGGTACATATTTGCTTACATATTGATATGAACTAATGAGGAAGAGGATGATCAAACCTCAAAACTGCAGCTTGAGTCCTTGAAAGACACTGAGATACTTCCTTTCTGACTTCTGCTAACAAAATGTAAAGGCTAAACATCATTCTTCACTTGTTGTGTATGTTTTATATTCTATAAAAATCTGTTGTGACAAATCAAATAATCACCATTACCTTGTTTCAGCATGATGTTTTAAGAAATTCCTGCTTTTTTTATGTTGTTATTCATAGACCCATTTCCTATTCTTTTCTTTTGCCCCCTTTCTTTAGTTATTGGATGAAGAATTGAAGGTAGCTGGGAAATATAAAGGAAATGATTATAGCCAATACTCTCCCTGGTCATGTGACACCATCGGCTCCTACATTGGAACCAAAGATGCAAAACCCAAAGATGCTGTGGCAGCAGGGAGTGTGGAAATGATGGTATGTGTAATAACTAAGCCATAATTAATATAAGCCAAGATAACCAAGTAAATTATCCCCCATTATAGTACAGATACATAATTGAGCTTTACTTAAGAGTTTCAGGCCATATTATATACTATGCAATTGAATTATATTTAAACTATACTTTTTTATTTGTTTTTTGGGGAGTAAATAAAAATATTTTAATACTTACCTAGACAAAGAAGAACATTTGTTATATTTCTGTACATCTAGCAGTTAACCCAACAACAGTTTAGAAACAAAATTAAATTATTTTGCATAATTAATCAAGATCCTGGATTTCTTGTCCAAGAAATTATAACTCTTCTACAACTTTGAAGTTTAAACAACAAAGTGGAATCTAGTGAACAATAGTAGTATTTGAGTCAGATTTGGAGCTACTTAACCTCAAGTGAGCTGTGGTATACTGAAATGTTACACTTACGCTATTTTTTTCTTAACAAAAAAATAATGTAACACCAGTGTACCCAAGCTTAATATTATCAGTATTTTATCCTAATTACTTCTTTACTAAAAAAATAAATAAAACTTCACAAAAGTACTTAAATCCTCCTGCATATACTTGCCTAATCTCTTGTTTCCCCTCCCTCCTTCCCTGGAGGTAACCTTTATCCTGAATTATCATTGCATAGATAATTTTATACTTCTTAAACCATTTTGTTTGCATGTTTATAGACCTTATATATTATATACTTCAATTTGCATTTTCACTCAGCAGTGTTTTTGAGATGTATCCAAATTTATACCTGTAGTTCAAGTTCATTCATTTTAACTGCTTTTATCCTATACCATTGGATAACTGATATCCAACAATAAATATGTATATGAATTATTTCTTTTTCTATTGGATGTTTAGGCTATTTTTTTTTTATTTAGGCTGTTTTTTATCTTTTACTATTATGTGCACTTCTACAGTGAACATTTCTGTGTATGTCTTCTTGTGCACATGCGTGGAAATTATGCTTAGAGAATGGTTTTGCTGGGTTAAAGATACGCCTTGACTATTCTTTAACATTTGCCCTTATTAACTGTAACAAAGGTTTCCTAGGTTATTATATTGGCTTTCGTAGACAAATATTTGTCCAGCTGGTTAAAAGAAGACCAATTGTCTTAATAGAAAAGGGAGACTTAGATGCTAATACTGCTATAAATGAGTAAAGTGATACCTATAATATAAATATAATTAGATGCCAGAGGGAGGCAGGAAGGGAGGGAAGGAGATAGACAGATAGAAAGGGATGTAGAGGAAGAAGAAGCAAAATATAAACCTTTTGTTTTTCTATGGTGTGATTGGGGACATGTTTTTAGGCCATAGAAAACTGTCTAAGAACAGGAATGAGATGAGGCAGAGATAACAGAAACCCTTGCTTTGTATCTGGCTTTCAGAAAGGGTTATTATAGTAAAGTAACAAATATTAGCAAAAACAACCTCATTTTCTTAGATCAGTAAATAAAAAAGTTTGCCAACCTAACCTAGATGTAATTGAAAATCTCTTAAATGGTGAAAGAAGTCTAGCTGTTTCTCAGACATGAATGTCCACGTAAATTACCTAAAGTTCTGTTAAAGTGCAGGTTCAAGTTGAGAAAGACTGGGGTGGGACCTGAGAGTCTGCATTTCTAATATTTTCCGGTCGCTGCTGCTGCTGCTGCTCCCACACTATATACTTTCAGTAGCAATGGTCTACAATTAGATTTCCATTTCTATTTATTTCAATACTTATTTCTTTCTGACTGGAATCCCTTTGAAGATCCTGTGTTGGCACTTACATTTTTAAACAGTGTTTTTCTAACTCCTGAGTTCTGAAATTAGCTGATTGGGTCATGATGGGTCTTTAAAGAAATGAATTAGAATAACAATATAAATACCAGAGTACATTTCATATAGTAAGGGTAAATATTTGTCATGAAATTACATTTGAATGTATATATGAGCTGACTCATGATATCTATATACAGTGGGGCCTTGACTTACGAGTGTCTCAACTAACGAGTTTTTCAAGATACGAGCCGTCTCTCGGCCGATTTTTTGCTTTGAGTTGCGAGCTAAAATTTGGGTTTAGCCAAATATACTTGCCAGCTTCAAATACCCCACCATATACTTGCCTAATCTCGTTTCCCCTCCCTCCTTCCCTGGAGGTAATCTTTATCCTGAATTATCATTGCATAGATAATTTTATACTTCTTAAACCATTTTGTTTTGCATGTTTATAGACCTTATATATTATGGTCTATAATATATAGACCAGCCTCAGATACCGCATCGCTAGTTGGCGCAGTGAACGTCACAGAGAACATTTCACTCGTTCACTGTTGATTTGACATATGAGTAATTTGAGTTACGAGCTCCGTCACAGAACGAATTAAACTTGTAAGTCAAGGCCCCACTGTATATAAAAGCCTAAGCGACTGTTCTACTGTGCAGCCGGTAGGTATGATGCACAATGACCACCAGGGGGCAGATACTCCAACCAGTAGCTATGATGCACACTAACCACTAAGGCAGTGATGGCGAACTTATGACATGCGTGTCAGAGGTGACACGCGAACTCATTTTTTTGGTTGATCGCAGAAGCTGCCGAGCTGCAGTGACTTGGCAGTTGCAGTTCTCAGGTAATGGACCTGGAACCAGAGAGGAGGGAGCCTGATTCCTGGGTGCGTCACCCAAGAACTGCCCTCTCGCAATCCCGGACCCCTCGGGGAGTGTCAAGAGCTGGTTTTGGCCCAATCCCCACAGGCTGAGGGACCCTACCAGTGCACAAATCCGTGCACCGGGCCTCTAATAAAATATAATGTTGTGGAATGATCAAAGGTTTAAAAAGTGATGTTTTATATGACAACCAACCAAAGGCAACTAATGATTTTAATCTTAGCAGTAAGGATATTGTACTCTTTTTCAACCTAATTACAGTTAGAGGAAATTATATTAGAGACCTAAGTGTGGGGTGGATTTCTCATTTTACTTATCAGAATGTGGAGAGTAAAGGAATGAGAGACCAGCGGTTGGATCATCAGAGAAGAGCAACAGAAACCAGTGATGATGACCTCATCCCATTTGGAGACCGACCAACAGTATCTCGGTTTGGTGCCATCTCTCGAACTTCCAAAACAATATATCAGGGTGCTGGCCCAATGCAGGCTATGGCACCTCAGGGAGCTCCCACAAAATCTATTAATATTTCAGGTAAGAACTTCCGGGGTAATCTCATCTAGAGGGTTCACAGACATGACCCCCCAGCACCCTCCCTACTACTCTCTTACTGTCAGTGCTTCCCATAATCTTCCAAGACAATCTGTCTTCAAACTTTTACTTGGAATTATCCCTGTAGAAAGGTAATTATCACCCAGGCAATTCTAGGGGTATAAAGTAAAATTGAATGTCTTATATGAAGATTGCCTAGTTTTTTAATAGCTTCATTACTCTTTATTAAAATAATGCACTCTCATTTTTTTTTAATTGAAGCAAAAGAAAAAAATTACCAAGACTGATGTTTCATTGGGGGAAAAACAGACATCAGTGCCCTGTTACTGTACTGGGAGACATCTTTCCAGATAGCTGTGTACATACCATGCCTGTGCCTTTTAGACCATGAACAGTGGTCGGCAAACTCATTAGTCAGCAGAGCCAAATATCAACAGTACAATGATTGAAATTTCTTTTGAGAGCCAAATTTTTTAAGCTTAAACTATATAGGTAGGTACATTGTTATTAACTTAATTAGGGTACTCCTAAGGCTTAGGAAGAGCCACACTCAAGGGGCCAAAGAGCTGCATGTGGCTCGCGAGCCGCAGTTTGCCGACCACGGCCCTAGGAGAATCAAATCTGTGGATTGTGTTGATCTACAGTGAGTTACTCTTCTCTTACAGATTACAGTCCTTATGGAACCCATGGTGGCTGGGGAGGTTCTCCCTACTCACCTCATCAAAACATAACTTCTCAGGGACACTTCAGTGAAAGGTATGAGTCATTCTTTTTACTTTTACAAACCTTTAAAATTATTCAACTTCTCTTATTTTGTTTTTCTAGTTAGTATTTTTTAAAAGCAAACATTGTAATTTGTTCCATGCTTTCTTTCCCACCAAAGGGAGAGAATATCCATGTCAGAAGTGGCCAGTCATGGCAAACCCCTTCCATCTGCTGACAGGGAACAGCTACGACTAGAATTGCAGCAGCTAAACCATCAAATTAGCCAACAGACCCAGCTACGTGGACTAGAGGTACCAGCCTATAGATATTTTTTTACTCCAGTTTTTGAAGAGTGCTCAAAGATTTTAGGAGGATCTTTTGAAGTACCACTTTAACAGTTACTAGTATATAGGTGTCCTTTCTTCAAAGAATTGAAGCACTTAGAGTTTAGTTCTGGGATGGTGCAAAAATTATTATTTTATTACTTGAGGATAGAAGACAGGTTATCTAAATTTTCATAATAGATATTTATCAACATGTGCTTTAACTTAAAATTGGTTTTTAATTTCTTATATTTCTTTAACTTTTTAAAATTTGTCTTATATTCTTTAAGTCCCAGCATTTATTTATACATATTTTAAAAATAGAAGCTTAGATCTTTGACTTTTAAAAATAGCCTCTGTATAATAATAGCACCTTCATCAATACAGTTCTTTTAGTTTATAAGTTATCACATGTTATTTGATTCATACAATGTCCCTGACAGTTATGTTAGGCAGATGTTATTATTACCCTTTTTTAGTTGAAGTTTTTTAGTTTTACAGAGATTGAAACATGAGCCCAGGTCTTCAAACTCCAAATTCAGTGTTGCTGCTGATTTATGGTTTTACCTTAGTTGAAATTTCTAGACCCATTTTCTGTCCCAAAAGAATATCACCATCATTTGGAAGCTTATCACATAGTTAACTCAACTGTGGTTAAAGGTCCTTCCTTGCCATTAATGAGATTTTGTTGAAATTAAAGTATTTATTTCAGAAAAATGTAAATAAAAAGAGGGAAGAATGTACATTTAATGTTGACTTCTTTAAGAGCTACTTATACCTAAGATCAAATTACTATTCACTAAGTTTAAATCCTCTATGTTTTTATTCTCACATAGTACTCAAAGAAAGAGACAGTATCTTACAGTTGCACCATTTTTATTGCAAATACCTGAGTGATAAGCTGCTTTTGGCTGTGGTCTGAAATCGGGCCTGGCCTTTCTGTGCATGGTGTGAAATGTGTTGAATTGTGTATGTGCTTGGCTTCATGCACTAGGCTGTTAGTAACAGGCTGGTGTTGCAGAGGGAGGTGAACACCCTGGCAGCTCAGTCACAGCCACCACCACCACCTCCAAAATGGCCTGGAATGATCTCAAGTGAGCAGTTGAGCTTGGAACTGCACCAGGTGGAAAGGGAAATCGGGAAGAGAACCCGGGAACTGAGTTTGGTGAGTGTTGCGGTGGGAAAAGAAAGGGAAGGTAAAAGGAAAACGTCCGTCATGGAACTCATAGCTCTAGAGTTGTAGAATCACCCAGAACTGTAGAATCATCACCCCAAGGCACTCCAAGGAGTAATAAATGCTTAGAATAAGTCTCATGAAGATGGGCTTTCATCCTCATTCCTCTCCTCATTCCCTTTTGATTTGACTGTGTTCTTTGTGTTGGGATTCTGCATTACAAAAAAACGTTTAGGGAAAACAAGGCAGGTACTTGGAAGTTACTACATTTCTGTTAAACATTACTGATTAAGGAAGCAGTGGGAATGTGTTGTTTATGATTTTGCTGATATTGTCATGTTATATAAAGATGTGCTACATGTTACCAAATAGCATTCTAGTTTTCATAGCCCTTGTTATTGATGATCTGGCTTTTCTTATGGGATACAATCTACACACCCTTTCCTGTGGCATTATATCCATGGATGTGCTTAGGCTTTGCTTCATAGTGTACTAACATCCATTTCGGTAAATTTTGAATCTTAGGGGATTGAACCAGTCCCCCAGCTTGCATGTAACTGACTTTGTTGTTGTGTAGCTTTCACATTTTTTCTAAGCAAATAAATGGGGTAGTTTTTCTGTTTTCATTAAGTAGATTATAGATAGATTTCATATTTGGTTTGCTTTTTCTAAGTCCTCATTTATGTGAGTTATTTCCATGTTAAGTTGAGGCATTCTCCCCCTTATTGTTCAGCTTGGGTAGTGAACAATTGGATTGTACTCTATTGTGTATGTCTCTCTTTTAGCCTGCCTGTTTCTTTAGTCATTTTACAAAACTATGTGATTTCTGGATCATCAGTTTCTATTATCTCTGTTTGATCTTTCTTCCATTAGCACCATTAAATAGAAGCTAATTGAATTTATTTCCTTCTCTTTCCTTCTCTTAAGGAGAACCAGTGTTCTCTGGATATGAAAAGCAAATTGAATACAAGTAAGCAAGCAGAAAATGGACAACCAGAACCACAAGCTAAGGTTCCAACCGAGGATCTTACATTGACATTCAGGTAAAGAAAGAGCCATTTGCATAGTCATATATTACACAGTCATGACAGAAATGCCCCAATGATTTGATTTTTAAAGTGTCATTGTTCTGTATACATTGAGAAAGAATATTTTCACATAAATTTAGGAGTTTAAAATTTTATTTTAGAACAGATCCAAAATTGAATTATCTGTTAAGACTGGTTACATTTCCTTCTTTCCCTTGCTTTTTAATTTATTTGAAAAAACAATGTTTACATTTTGATGTATACCTTTCTAGTCTTTTTTAAAAAGTGTGGGCATTTAGCTTCTTTCAAAACCCACCCACCATTCCATCTCCCTGGTTTTTAATTTGTTCTATTCCATGTCATCTAATAATTCTTCTACAGGTTTGGAAGGATACCTGTCAGATATTGTAAACCACCCTGCAGTAAACAATATTGAAGTTAATTCTTTTTTTAATTAATCTATATTCAGATTATTACAGATGTTCCATTTTATCCCCCATAGCTCCCCTCCACCTGGTTCCCACCACACCCCATGCCCTTACCCCCTGCCATTGCCCTCATCCATAGGTGTAAGATTTTTGTCCAGCTCTTCCCGCCACCCCCCACACCTCCTTCCCCCTACGAATTTGGTTTTGCTACTTGTAAGATTTTCTCTTTGTCTTTTGCTCTTGGCATTTTAATTATGGTGTGGTCCTCTTTGAATTCCTTTTGTTTGGGGTTCTATGTGCTTCCTGGACTTATAAGTCTTTTTTTTTCACCAGGTAGTGGAAGTTTTCTGTCATGATTTCTTCAAATAGGTTTTCAGTATCTTACTCCATCTCTTCTTCTGGCACCCTGATAATTCGGATGTTGGTACGTTTGAAGTTGTCCCAGAGGCTCCTTACACTATCTTCATATTTTTGGATTCTTTTTTCGTTTTGCTTTACCGGTTGGGTGTTTTTTGCTTCTTCGTATTTCAAATCTTTGACTTGATTCATGGGATCCTCTAGTCTGCTGTTGGATCTCTGTATATTATTTTTAATTTCAGTCAGTGTATGTTTAATTTCTGACTGGTCCTTTTCCATTTTTTTGGCATTCTCATTAAGATCCTTGAAGGTCTCATTAAGATCCTCTAAGGTCTCACTAAGTTCCTCGGAGGTTCGTAGAAGATTCTTGAGTAACCTTATAACTGTAGTTTTGAACTCTATGTCCTCCATTAGTTTGCTTTCCTCCATTTCTTTCATTTGTGACATGTTTCTTTGTCTCTGCATTTTTGTCTGATTGCAAGGACCCGCTGTGTCTACAGTGGAAGAACTGCTGTGCTGGAGACACCCTTATGGGGTAGGACTTGCTTCAGTGGGGCTTTGGTGCTCAGTGAGTCTGCTTCTTGAGTGTGTCCCTTATGGATGTGAGGAGTTGAAATCTGGTATCTGACCAGGGGTACCCTGGCTCCTGGATCTCCAAGTCAACCACTGTGTGTGTCCACCCAGCAGGAGCTACAGCGATATCAGCAGATTTCTCCTCTTTGTTTGGGGATTGGGAGTTTTGGAGCTCTGTGACCCAGCTGCAGTTTGTTAGGTTAGGCTGCAAAAGGGCAGGCGGTTCCCTTGCCCTGCTGCGCACAGGTTGGATGGGGATGTAAATTGAGTGGGGCAGGTTCTCAGAGAATCACAGGGCGGAGCAAACAGCAATGGCTGTCATCAGCCATCTCTGCGACTCCGCGTCTCTGTGTCCCGAGTCCCACACCCCCACGGCAACAATGATTCCTGCGAGCAGCTCTGCGAGAAAGCCACCCTCGCTTTCCGACCCGCTGCAAGACAGTCCAGTTTCTCCCCGTAGGAGTCTGGGTCCCCAGAGTCTCGCCGTAAATGAGTTCAGTGCATTTGAGAGTCTGTATCCCTTCCGATTGAAAAAAATCATGCACCCAGGTGCAGCCTCCTGGTGCGTGTCTTTGTACCTCTGTTCTTGGTGCCTCTGTACCTCCTACCTGGTCTCAATGCGCTTTTTTCTTTCCTTCTAGTTGTAGAACTTCCACTCGGCCAGCTTCCCCGTTGTTCTGGATGATAGCTGCTTTGTCTTATAGTTGTAGTTTTAATGTTTTTGTGGGGGGCAGCACATACAGGTTTATACCTTATACCGCCTTCTTGGTTCTTCCTGAAGTTAATTCTTTGTACATCTTTAAGTATTCCCTTAGAACATTTTGAGACTGTTGATACATAGTCCTGAGTTGCCCTCCTGACAATATATAACAACTAGAAGCCCAGTGCACAAATTTGTGCACCAGTGGGGTCCCTCAGCCTGGACGGTGATCTGAGCTGAACAGGGCTGGCTGGCCAAGGGGAGGGACTGCGGGGGGTTGGCTGTGGGAGCGCACTGACCACCGGGGGCAGCTCCTGCATTGAGTGGTAGTCAGTGTGTCATCATAGCAACTGGTCGAGCAGTTGACCGGTCATAATGGTCGCTTAGGCTTTTACATATATAGATAACTACTAATGCCTTGTCGCTTTCACGCTTAGGGTTTGGCTATTTAAACCCATGCATTATTTTTCTTAAAGGCCATATTGTAAATATTTAAAATTATGTGTTTTATAGTCTCTGTCAAAACTCTCAATTCTGCCATTATAGTGTGAAAGCAGCCATAGACACTATGTAAACAAACAGGCAGGCTGTGTTCCAATGAAACTTTATTTACAAAAACTGGCAGCAGCTAGCCTTAGTTTGAGAACCTCTGTGCTAAAGCATGGATATAGAGCTGTAAGTTAAAGTTTGAAAGCCATTCCTAGTCTTCATACTACTGAAAGAACGGTCCTGTTGATTTTATTCTACTAAATAATCATTTTATCTCCTATTTAAAAATTCCAACTCTGTCTCTTTTTTTAAATGTTAACAGTGATGTGCCGAATGGATCAGCCTTGACACAAGAGAATATCAGCCTCCTATCAAACAAGACCAGCTCTCTGAACCTGTCAGAGGACCCTGAAGGAGGAGGAGACAACAATGACTCCCAGAGATCAGGAGTTACACCCAGTTCTGCCCCCTAAAATATGAGGAGTTCTGCTCCGAATCAATTTGTAGGACGTAGGGTAGCAGAACGGTAACTTCTAAACTTCTTCTCTGAGAGTGGTCAGAGAAGTCCAGGGAAAGCACCGGAGGCAATGTGCACAAACACCACTACTAAAAACAAACCCTGCACATAGATCACATTAATGCATTTTTTAATTTAAAGAAAAAGAAAATTAGCAGTATCTGCAAGCAATTCAGATTAAATTTGTTTTTGTTCTGTGAATGAACTTTATTTTAATAACTTTGGACGCCTTGGATCCAGGGCTTTAAAAAAAAGAAGATATTATATATACACTCTGTTTGATTAATTGTATGATCTTAATGAAGTAGGTTTTTCTTGTATTTTGGTATTATTACATACCCAGTGTGTAATTCCTGCCTTGCAATCCTTTCCCACTATCACAGCCCCATAAATTAAAACAGACAAAAAGCACCAGCCTTTCTGAGAATCCTCTGGTGCCTGATAAACAAAAAGACAGTAACAGACCAGTTAGAAAATGTGCAGCAAACCAAGGTTTCTGAGAGCTGTCATTTGGAAGCCATGATTATCCTTTCCTCTCTGGGTCACTGCCTTCATGTGTTAAGTATGTTTCCTATGTTGTTCAAACGTATTTTTGTTCAGGGGGTTTTCATTTCTTGTTTTGTTTTTAACTTTTCAGAGATAATTGCCAGACAAGTTTTGAAGTCCTCATGCCCATGTCATGGAACCCTTTCATTCTCTTAACGTAATCTGAAAGCAGAGCCAGTGTTCAGATTGTTGGTTAGATTTATATGGAGATTATTTTAAGAATGAACTCTAATTTATCAGCACTGGAAATACTTGGTTAGTGTATAACCTACTTTGAGCTGACGGTTGGAAATTTGGACCTGTGCTTTTCTAAATTGAACTTCGGATGAAATCAGAGAATGCTAAAAAACCAGCACAGCACAATCAACCATGTTTTAAAACTGCAGTACTTGAATTCAAGTTAAAATGGACAGAGCCACATTATTTCACTGAATTCTTCTATTTTACCCTCAAAACCCAAAAAATATAAAATAAAATCCCTAAATACTGGTCCCCCTGGCTTTCAGAGGTTTGCCTGGATCCTGGGAATAGTTTCTGAATTGATCAGTTGTTGCTGTTCAGAATCATTAGCACAAGTAGGTAGAAGTACCTACAGGTTAATTTCCAGAGACTTTGTTTTACAATACTGAAAAGATTCTTCATGAAAATGTTAAAAAGAATAAAGAAGAATTTGGTTAGTTCTGCTGCACATATTCTGATGGCCCATGTCTGTACTGAACTAAGACCCTATAAACCATGCGAGGTGGGGATTATTGGATATAGTCACTCTCCCCATCCCTCTGTTTGCCTGATTTTTTATAATTTCCCTTTCTGGATTATACTACTAAAACAGAAAGCACTGGTTATGTAATGTTACTGCATTGCTTTGGTTGGGTAAAAGCAAGAGTTTGTATTTTTCTTGTTTCTTATTTTCTTAACCCTTAACTCCTGCTGAGGTCATAACCTCAGTCTAAGCTCTGTGTCCATCATAATGTTAACAAACAAATTGGGGGGAGAGGGGTAATTCAGTCCTGCCATTGCCTACCAGTAGGAGAGTCCAAACAGAACACTCTTTTGAGTAGCGATTTTTTAATTTGCCCAGTCAAGGCACCGTGTTTATATACTATTTCACATTGAATTTGATTATGCCCTACAGACCTGGCTGGTCAAGGATTTGATATACACATATTGGCTTGGGATTCGAGCTTTCTTTTTTATTTAAATAAAAATTTATATATATTATATATATACATATATACATAGCTATATCTGTATATATATTGGGTATGTTTTAAGGATTTTTTCGCATGAGCGCAGCTGTTGCGATAAAATGACTGATTGGGAGGTAGAAGCACTGAATGAAGATGAGGCATTTTTTTCATTTGAAATCCATATTCTTCTGTCTTGTTAATATACTTGCTTTTGTGCTTTTTTTGTTTTGCTTAAAACCCTCTTATATTTATTTTTTAAGTGTTTATTGTTTTTTTGGGAGAAGGAGAGAAACTGTGTGTCTGACAGAACCCCAATACTTTTCATTTTTCTATATAGACAACCATAAAAGGCAACATTCTTGGCCTGCAACTTTCTGTGGGCAGAATTGGGCAGATCTTCTCCTTTGGACATGTTAACATGTTCAATTTGGAACTCAAAATGAAACTTAGGGATATTGATTTTGTTAAAGTTCAGAATAAGTAAAATTCCATTGGGGTATCTATTACCACGCCTGATAGCTTCTGTTATTCTGTGACCTTCAAATGCTCTCATTCTAGCTACCGCCATTTTGATACTCTAAACTAGCCAGGAACAGGGATTAATTTATACAGTGTTCCTTTTCTGAATAAAACTAGGAAAGCCACTGTTTTGAATTGATTTAAAATAGTTTTTCACTTCTTAAGGTATATTTATTTGGGGGGGTAGGAAGATCTCTTAAATTGTAGCCTTAATTCTCGCTGTACCTCTCTAAGGTCCCACACTCTTGAGGCAAGCTGGCTGCATGGAAAGGCAGGGGAGTAGTATATTGTACATGTGCCTGTAGCCCACCTCCTGGATATTCTTAAAGCTTTCCTAGTGCTCACAAGCCTCAAAATTTGGGGTTCTCTTTTCCTTTTCTCTGTGATTTACTTTATGATATATAAGCCTGTAAGAAAAAGTGGCAAAAGTGCTTGACTGTTTAACGCCTATTTTGGTCAAAATCTGTGAAAGGCATTGATTTTTTCTAGCTTCTAAAATTTATGCCATTAGAAACAAGAGATTAAACCTATCAGATAGCAAATAAGTTTTTATGCTTTCTACTTATTAAAATATTAATTTCTTCTGAAAATGACTACTTGCTTTCACTGAATTCAAAATCAAGACTTGGACGTCTCAGATTGGAACAATTCTGAGAGGGCCAACGTGGGAATAATAAGCACTGTGTTCACGCCTGTTCAAGTAAGACCATAATTTTATAGCTAGAAATATAAAAGTACTTTGACTTATTCTTTTTTAAGGGGTCTCTGGAAAAGTGTAGAAATACTGAAAATATGGATTCAGTTTCTTGACTTATGTGTAGATCTTTTGCCTTACTGATAGATACTGTCACAATGTAAGTCCAGTAGCTTGCCCTGTCTTGGCTATTTTACAGAGGCTAACGTAACCAAAGATCCATTCCTTGTTACTTTTCTAATCAAAAGTTAGTTATAGCAGAGGTTTCTACTAACATTATTCAAATGACAAGACACTATTTCTAATGCCAGCTACAAATATTCAGCTACTCAGAATGTACACAATTTATCTGGTACAGCATGAATGTGGCTGAGTCCCTTCTCCCATCCGTTCCCCTTCCCTTCGCCTCGCTGTTCCCTTGTATTTATCCTTTTGCTTTTTCTAAAAGACATAAAATTGGTATGATTCTTATTTGCTATCTTGAATGTCTAACTTCATCAGACCTTCAGAGTTGAAGCTCAAAGTTGTTTTTCTCTTTTATTTTCTGGCCCTTTTCTATCTTGCAAATTCCCCTTGATTTACCCCCTGCCCTCCCCAATCTGCAACAGTGACAGTTTGCTGCCTCAAAACAGAGCATTCAAATGAATTCGCTTAGCCAATAACTTCTGTGAAGTTGCCTTTTCTAATGGTGTTATTACTCAGTGATGCACAAATGTGGTATTTGCCCTACTGGTAGGCAAACAAAGGTCTGGTTCAGAATGGTAACCTGCTGGGGTGTTTTTGTTTTTCTTTTTTTTCTTTTTAAAGGAGAGCCAAAGACTTGTGCTTTACTCTGTTTTGGTTTGGGAAACATAGTAGCCATTTTTGATTGTGTAACCTTTAAGTATTTGTGAGTTGATTGTATTGTGTAAGATTTATCTAAAGTTAACTGATAGAGTTAGCTGGCCTTATAAAATGTAAAAGTAATGAAAATTCATCAGTTTCTCTTTCATCAGGGAATATCTTTAATAATATTTTGTGTAAGTGGTCCCTTCCCTTCTTTTTAAGACTGTTTTGTCATGATAGCATCTTGTGTGTTTTTCCTTTTTTTAACTTGTGCCTAAAGAACAGTCTCCTATCACTATGGTTAAGTCATGGGCTGGTGAGACATAATTAACTATGGGCTGTATATGTCAGATTATCACATTCCAAGAAAAATAGGTTCTTTTCACTAAAGAGTATGTGGTGGCTATTTCATGTATATAAATGGTGATGGGTGGAGGTCTTACCATCCTTCTTCCACTTTGTTTTTGCTCATTTTAAAGGATTGAGTAAAGGTTTCACACATAAAATCTATCTGTAAGAAGCACCTGTAATGATTTATATATCATTAAAAGCTAAGGCCCGGTTACTTTTAAGGAAAAATTAACCTGCCTGGAAATTGCAGTGCTTGCTTAGATTTTTACCTTATTAGAGTCCAACTTTGTTTATTTTTTATTTGATGTTACATTATTATAGTGTTCTCTTCCTAAAAAAATCGGCCTGTCCTTTTAGAGGAAAATTAGAGCTCTTAAACTAAAACAGTCACTCAGCATTCGGGATTGGACAAGCAAGCAGTCTGCTGCTGTCGTCATTTTACCCCCGTGCCTGTTTGCAGGTCCACATTCTCCCTACCTTGGGCAGCTGTGAGTTTTATATTTA